GGGCATCACCCAGTCCTGGACGCTGCCAGAGTCCCCACAGCAGAATGGGGTTGCTGAGCGCCGCATAGGCTTGGTCATGGACATCGCCCGCACGTCCATGATTCATGCCCGTGCGCCCCATTTTCTGTGGCCCCACGCGGTTCGCTACGCCGCACACCAGCTGAACCTCCAGCCGCGTGTCTCGCTGCCCGAGGCTTCACCGACCAGTCTTTGGACTGGATCCCCTGGTGTTGGGTCGGCCTTTCGAGTCTGGGGCTGCCTTGCACTTGTTCGCGACACCTCCGCGGACAAGCTCTCGGCACGCGCCGTCCCATGTGTCTTCCTTGGTTTCCCAGTGGACTCTGCTGACTGGTCCTTTTACCACCCTCCCCTCCACCAGTTCCTAGACTCCCGTGACGTCCGGTTTGACGAGTCCGTGTCCTACTACACCCGGTACCCCTGTCGAGGTCTCCCGGTACCCCCTCCCCCTCTCTTCCTCGCGCCCTCTCCTCCTCCTGCTCCCGCTCCTCCGGTACCCCCGCCCCCCCCTGGTCCTGCCCCGTCTGGTGTGTCCCACGCTACCCCTCTACCCTCGGTCGCGCGTCAGGTAGCGTCTCCCTCCCCGCAGTCCTCCTCACAGTCCCCTCAGCAGCCTTCGGCACTTCCGCGACAGGTTACTTTGGACTCGGTTGGTGTTGGAGCTGGAGGTGCAGCCGCTGGCGGTGCTCGGTCTGGGGGTGCTCGGTCGCGGGGTACTGGAGCTGGAGGTGCTGGCGCAGGTGGCGCTAGCTCTGGGGGTGCTGGAGCAGGAGGTGCCGGCACTGGAGGTGCTGGTTCTGGGGGTGCTGGAGTTGGGGGTGCTGGCACTGGCGGTGCTAGTTCTGGGGGTGCTGGAGTTGGAGGTCCTGGCACTGGCGGTGCTGGTTCTGGGGGTGCTGAGTCTGAGGGGACTGACGCTGGAGACCATGGTTCTGCGGAGTCCACTCCGCCTCCCCACCGCCACGACACGCGTCTCCAGGCTGCCCGTCGGCGTGAGCGTGAGGAGCAGGAGCGGTTGGAGAGGGAGCGGCAGGAGCTGCGGGTGCTGGACCTTCTGGAGCAGCAGCGGCAGCAGCAGCAGCAGCAGCAGCAGCAGCAGCAGCAGCAGCCGCAGCCGCCGCCGCAGCCACAGCAGCAGCAGCCGCAGCCGCAGCAGTAGCGGCCGCAGCCGCCACCGCAGCTTCCTCTGGAGCGGCGGTTGTTCCCACCTGTGAGTGGCCTGCGGGCCCTTGGCCTTTCCTCCTCTCCTCCTGTCCGCTCCCAGTCTCCTCCTGTGTTTGTTCCTCCGTTGCCTCCTCCTGACGACCGTCCGGCGGTCTGGTCTTCTCCTCCTCCCTCTGTCCGTCGCGACCTGATCACTCGTTGTCCTCCGCGTGCTCGTCACTCGTCCCCTGTTACTGACCTCCACACTGCCCTCCTTTGTTCGTCTCGTCGTCGTTCTCCTTCTCCTGTGTCCGTTCTCCCGTCTCCTCCTCCGTCCTCCCTACCAGCCCTCCCCACTCCTATCTCTGACTACTACCGCGTTGTTCGTCCTGTTGCCGCACGTGTCCTCGCCACTCTTGTCACCGAATCTCGTTTCCCTCCGTCGTCTGCCTCGGCTCTTACTGCCGCTGTCGCTGAGTTTGCTGCCGCCAGCCGCCTTGACTACGCCACCCGTGTGGTGCCAGCTCCTCCCTACCGTCCTCTGTCCGTCGGGGGTGGGTTTGCCCTTGGCTGTGACGTCCTAGAGGACAGAGAGTCCGAGCTGGAGTACTAGGCAGCCGCTTCTCCCTCTGTGTGTGCCATGCTGCTCTCCCCTGAGGGAGACCCCGACGCCCTTGACATACCGACTCCTCGCACTTACCGCGAGGCAGTGTCAGGGGCGTGGGCCTCTCAGTGGAAAGCGGCTATGGACTCAGAGTTGGCGTCTTGGAGATCCACAGGCACCTACGTCGACGCAGTTCCCCCTCCCAGGGCGAACGTAGTCGATGGCATGTGGCTCTTCAAGGTGAAGCGGCCGCCTGGAGCACCGCCGGTGTTCAAGGCGCGCTACGTGGCTAGGGGCTTCAGTCAGCGTGAGGGAGATGACTACTCTTCGGGTGTTACTCCACATAGCAGCGCAGCGAGACTACGAGCTGCACTCCCTCGACTTCTCCACTGCGTTCCTCCAGGGCCGACTACACGAGGAGATCTGGCTGCGCCGTCCTCCTGGCTTCAATGACACCTTCCCACCTGGGACCCAGTGGAGCCTGAGGCGACCAGTCTACGGTCTCCGCCAGTCGCCCCGTGAGTGGCACGACACTCTTCGCTCCACGCTTCGTGACCTTGGGTTCAGCCCGTCCTCCGCCGACCCGTCGCTGTTTGTTCGAGCGGGTTCTACTCCTTTCTTTATCCTTGTCTACGTCGACGACTTGGTGTTTGCTACAGCAGACAGGGCAGCCCTGGCTCAGGTGAAGTCCGAACTGCAGAAGAGACACAAGTGCACTGACCTGGGTGAGCTGCAGCGCTACCTTGGCCTGCAGATCACCCGGGACAGAGCCGCTCGCACCATCACACTGACGCAGTCACACATGGTGCAGCAGGTCCTTCGGCGGTTCGACTTCCAGTTCTCCACCACACAGCCCACTCCTATTGCTGTTGACCACAGACTCACGGGCCCCTTTCCTGACGAGCCCTTTGAGTCCAGTGGACCCTACGCAGAGCTGGTGGGCTGCCTCATGTACCTGATGACTTGTACTCGACCGGACCTCGCCTTTCCACTCAGCATCCTTTCTCGCTTTGTTGCGACTGGGAGACACCGCCCTGTCCACTGGACAGCTGCTGTGAGGGTGGCGAAGTACCTGGCGACTACATCAGGCATGGGGCTTGTGCTTGGAGGGACTCAGCCAGTGGCGTTGACTGGTCACTGCGACTCTTCCTACGCTGACGACGTGGAGACTCAGCGTTCGACTCAGGGTTACTGCTTCAGTCTGGGAGCTGGTGCTGTGTCGTGGAGGTCTACACGGTCGTCGTCTGTGGCTACTTCCAGTGCAGAGGCAGAGATCTACGCTGGTGCCATGGCGGCACAGGAGCTTCGCTGGTTGACCTTCTTGCTCGCCGACCTTGGTGAGCGGCCTCGCTCTGCACCGACCTTGTACGCTGACAACAAGGCCATGATCCTCCTGTGTCGAGAGCCTCGACTGGAGAGCAGAGTGAAGCATATTGACGTGAGGTACTTCCTCCTGCGAGAGTTGCAGCGACGCGGTCAGGCACGTTTGGACTTTGTGGCCTCACAGGCCAACACTGCCGACGTCTTCACCAAGGCCTTGGCGCCTGGTGACCACCACAGGTTCTGTGTGCAGTTGGGGCTTGTTGAGGTAGGCCCTCGGTTGCTGTAGACTTGCTGTTTGCTCTACTTGTTGTGCTTCTATATATACTAGTAAACTCTTGAACTGGCCTTGTGGCCACTTGCTTGTGCTCGGAGTGTGTGGTGACTCTGAGCGCCACCCTGAGCTTTGTTTTTTATGCTTGTTCTTGACTGGTCTTGTGACCCCTTGTTTCCGTTGGTTGTTTTGATGCCCCTCACTTAGCCTATAGGGGTGTGTCAAATGTTTATATATTCTATATATTGTTAGATAGGCTACAGTGAGTTGCCCTCTAAAGGGTACAACACTTTAGGTCGACATTTGTATCTCCTTGTCTCTCCTTACTCAAACATTACTCTCGACACTTGTCTCCTAGCCTATCTTAAGATCTAAGGGGTACATTCCCTTATTATAACTGTTTTACAGGCATTTCTACAGTGACTCTGACTGTTGTACTTTCTTTCTTGTTACCGAGTCGCTGCATGTAACCTGTACGGTTACGCCTGTTGCCATTCCTCGATGGTAAGTCAAGCGTCGGTCTAGATGGTCAACAGTCGCGACAGTTGACTCTTGCGACTGTTGACCTTCCTGCCCTTGATACGGGCTGATCCGATATTGCGGTAGTTGCTGCTTCGACAAGGTCAGGTGCGATACTGCTGCACCTACGGGAATGCTAAGTATAATTCCCTTCACACTCCAACACATCGCACTAGCTAGCTCGCACACATCGCGCTCCCGTTTGCTAGTTTTCGCTATAAATTTTCGCTCATGCCTTCTCTCACATTTGTACTCGTTTGCCACTTAGTGCAATTCTCGCTACTTCGATACATTGCACCCGTAACAATATTGTAAAACCCAGGCACTCATATTTTTTTGTGATCTGGAGACATTTACAAATAATTGTTACACTAGTTGTCGGTTGTTCGGATTCGAATACGAAGCACATGCCCTTGTCACACGTGCATCCGTACATCCGTTCCGTACATCCTCGTTGAGAAGTGAAGTCCTGCCAGCCACCAACCATTTTCCATCGCTAATCTAATTCTAACCCACTCCCACTAATCCTGACTCCTCGCTAGGAACGGGAGTGACAGCAGTTACGGAAACCCTAACTCCAGTAGTCGATTTAGTGAATCGAGTCGAATAGTTGTTCTTAATCGAGTCGAATAGTTGGTTCTTATTACGTGTTCGAAGCCAGCAAACCTGGAGCGCGATAGTTCTCACCGTGACGGCGTTGCCTCGACCATCGGGGGATGAAGACCGTAGCAACCCTTTTTCTCGGCACGCTGCTCCTGCTGACGTGGCACGCAGTTTTGCGAGTCGAGAGCGCGCCTTTCGCCGAGTCCCAGGGTGCGTGCCGCACATGGTAGTATCCTTTACCCGCCGTACCCCTGGTAACATCTAGGATGCGGCATTTTTGCCGAATTTACTTTTGAGTCGACTTCAGTCAACTTCAATCGCCCAGGGTGTGTACCGCCATGGTAATATCCCTGACCGCCGTACCCCTGGTAGGATGCGGCATTTTAGCCGCAATGGCCACTGGATGTTGGGACGACGATGTTCGGGGTGCTGACTCCAAGCTGCCAGCTTTCGATGTCTGCTCACCTTCTTACGACGTCTGCTGACCTGCGCGCGCACCGCATAGAGTAGCACAAAGAAATGATGGAATGTGGTGAGAGGGAAATGTGTGAGAGGGAATGTGGTGAGAGGGAGTGTGGTGAGAGGGAATGTGGTGAGAGGGAATGTGGTGAGAGGGAGTGTGGTGAGAGGGAATGTGGTGAGAGGGAATGTGGTGAGAGGGAATGTGGTGAGAGGGAATGTGGTGAGAGGGAATGTGGTGAGAGGGAATGTGGTGAGAGGGAATGTGGTGAGAGGGAATGTGGTGAGAGGGAATGTGTGAGAGGGAATGTGGTGAGAGGGAATGTGTGAGAGGGAATGTGGTGAGAGGGAGATGTGTGAGAGAATGTGTGAGAGGGAATGTGGTGAGAGGGAATGTGGTGAGAGGGAATGTGGTGAGAGGGAATGTGGTAAAAGATGTGGCTGGACAACCGTTTGGGCCCCTTCTCTTCCAATCGTTGTACTTCTCTCCTTTCTTCCAACCCCTCCCCCCCCCCCCCCCCCCCCCCTACCCCCCCCCTTTACCCTCCTCCTGCCGCCAGCGCAAGTCCTGCTGGACTGTCAGAAGGCGTGGAGCAAAACGTTTGACGGCTGGGTGGTTGGTGGGGACTGCGACAATGCAAGCAACGTCACGTGCGATGCCCAGGGCATGATAACTGATATGTGAGTGCACGTTTGTGAACGAGATGATAAAATCACGTGAGTGGATGGACCTTTGATACTTGAGAGATGTGAGTGCACCTTTGTGGGAGACAGTAACAGCCATGTGTGTGGAACTCAGGTAGTCCTCGATGGACCTAGATGCGTGAAAAAAACAAGCAAACAAATAAACAAACAACAACAACCCTAAGCCCGAAATTTTGAACCGTGGTTCATTTAGGTCAGTTCCACTTCGCCTCACCGCCCCCTCGGCTTTCCCTCTTCCAAAGAACAGCAGCAACTCACTAGCTTCTTCCCTTCCTAAGCGAGAAAAAACAGTCGGTGCATGCCATGCCATGGCTCGGAAAAAAAGCTTGAGGCGAGTTGCGGCTCCACTCGCCATTCCCCCCTTCCCCCAATCGGTCCCTCCAGCGTCCCTAGTATCCCCAATCCCGCTCGCATCTTCCCCATCCGCCCTCCCGTACCTTCCGCAAGCCACTGCTCCACTCGCAGCCCATGCCTATTCGTAACTCCTTTCAGCCTTTCCCCGCTTCGCCCAACCTCCCCCCACCCCCCCTCCCCCCCAAACCCCCCAGCAACCCCAACCCCGCTCGCTTCCTCTCCTCCACTCCTACCCTTCCGCACCCTCCACCTCCCCGCCACCTCCCCGTCTTCCCCCCTCTCCCAGCTCCCACCTCTCTTTTGATGCCTTCATTTGTCTCTCACTCTCTCCTCTTCTCTCTTCCCTCACCCCTCTCTCCCTTCCCCTTCCCTCGCTACTCTCACTCGCTCCCCACGATGCTGTTAGTAGCACAGCACCGCCCCAGCAGCCCTGCTAAGGCGATGCCTGTGCAATTCCAAAGAAACATTTTATATACTTTGGGAATCACTATGTCGTGCCTTTTTTTTTAAATCAACTTCTGATTCTCCCAAGTTCCAAGAGCATGCATGCATGCAACGTGATTTCTCTCCATAAGTCTAGCAACTGACCTCTCCCCCATTTCGATGTCCGCTCATCAGGGATATTTCCTACGAGAATTTAGACGGCGCAATCCCTGACTCCATCAGCAACCTCCAAAGCCTTTCCTCCTTGTGAGTGCTGCTCTTTCCTGGGTGTGCATGTAAGGCAATCACAAGTGAACATGTGAGGCGGCACTCACACCTTGTCGTCAGTTCTCCTACTTGGGCTGGGTGTGTGTTTCTGAAGTGCATCAAGACAGCCCTTGTCACCTTGTGAGTGCTGCTCTTTCCTGGGTGGCCATGTAAGGCAATCACAAGTGAACATGTGAGGCGGCACAGGCACTCACACCTTGTCAGTTCTCCTCCTCGGGCTGGGTGTGTGTTTCTGAAGTGCATCAAGACAGCCCTTGTCACCTTGTGAGTGAGTGCTTCTAAGCTTTCGAGCTTGCGAGCCATGTTGTTTCATCCGAGGTTTCACATTCACTCTGAAACTCATAGGTCCCGAGCCTGAAAGTTCTCACTTGGTGTCTCTCTCGAATGCAGGTGTTTCTGGAAGACTAACCTGACTGGCCCGATACCAACAACCATTGGCAACCTTCCAAACCTGACCAATTTGTGAGTTTCTCAACCAGACAGGCTCAACGATTATCTTCTCGTAATCTAGGCTCACATTCTCTTATATCCTGACACTTGATTTATTTAAATTGTAGAATTATAAAATGTAGAACATTTTTTCTGAGTCATGAGAAAGCTGGTCTTACACTTGCATATCGAATGTGTACGAGTCCGGGTTCAGGTGAGCTCGTCCTCTACACTACACGGTTATTGAATGTATGTGCCAAATGTAGCACGTGGCTTGAGTCTCGTCCTGTCCTCTACACGAGCCAAGCCGAGCAGAGCCGAGCAAGTGGCAAAAGAATCTTCCCGCTAATAATGCCTGCCCCTCAAGTGTTGCGTCGATTCATTTGCTCTTTATGCTTGCCCTCCGTGTTCATTCCCTCATCAGACAACTGGTTTACAACAGCTTAACTGGCACCATCCCTGCATCCATCGGCAATCTCATCAGCCTTGATTACTTGTTAGTGCTGTTCCTTGTCTAATTCATATGTTAACTCTGCTCCTCTTTTGGTTGACATGTGAGCCCCCGCCAGATACCACATGCTTCTTCTCAGTGGCATTGACGCGGGTCTTGTTTATGTTTTTTTTACTCCAATTCAAAAGTAGAAGAGTTGACGCAAAGTAGTAGTACTGCGGACTTTGCTCATGCATGCATGTCCCGGCAATGCAAATCTACCATCCTCGTCCTGCTATTTGAAGCATTGATATGCAATGCTATGCATTCAGCTCGACTTCCATCGAGCTGCCTTCCCTTTCAACCTCCAGTGAACTGCACTAGCCCGACATACACTGAGTCTTCTCTTTTCTACGCCTGTGGATAGAGGTGTCCCATCTTTGCTTAGTGTCCCAACTTTGCTTAGTGTCCCAACTTTGCTTAGTGTCCCAACTTTGCTTAGTGTCCCAACTTTGCTTAGTGTCCCAACTTTGCTTAGTGTCCCAACTTTGCTTAGTGTCCCATCTTTGCTTAGTGTCCCAACTTTGCTTAGTGTCCTCCCAACTTTGCTTAGTGTCCCAACTTTGCTTAGTGTCCCAACTTTGCTTAGTGTCCCATCTTTGCTTAGTGTCCCAACTTTGCTTAGTGTCCCAACTTTGCTTAGTGTCCCAACTTCGCTTAGTGTCCCAACTTCGCTTAGTGTCCCAACTTCGCTTAGTGTCCCAACTTCGCTTAGTGTCCCAACTTCGCTTAGTGTCCCAACTTCGCTTAGTGTCCCAACTTCGCTTAGTGTCCCAACTTCGCTTAGTGTCCCAACTTCGCTTAGTGCCCCAACTTCGCTTAGTGTCCCAACTTCGCTTAGTGTCCCAACTTCGCTTAGTGTCCCAACTTCGCTTAGTGTCCCAACTTCGCTTAGTGTCCCAACTTCGCTTAGTGTCCCAACTTCGCTTAGTGTCCCAACTTCGTTTAGTGTCCCAACTTCGCTTCGTGTCCCAACTTCGCTTGGTGTCCCAACTTCGCTTAGTGTCCCAACTTCGCTTAGTGTCCCAACTTCGCTTAGTGTCCCAACTTCGCTTAGTGTCTCAACTTCGCTTAGTGTCCCAACTTCGCTTAGTGTCCGCTTAGTGTCCCAACTTCGCTTAGTGCCCCAACTTCGCTTAGTGTCCCAACTTCGCTTAGTGTCCCAACTTCGCTTAGTGTCCCAACTTCGCTTAGTGTCCCAACTTCGCTTAGTGTCCCAACTTCGCTTAGTGTCCCAACTTCGCTTAGTGTCCCAACTTCGCTTAGTGTCCCAACTTCGCTTAGTGTCCCAACTTCGCTTAGTGTCTCAACTTCGCTTAGTGTCCCAACTTCGCTAAGTGTCCGCTTAGTGTCCCAACTTCGCTTAGTGCCCCAACTTCGCTTAGTGTCCCAACTTCGCTTTGTGTCCCAACTTCGCTTAGTGTCCCAACTTCGCTTAGTGTCCCAACTTCGCTTAGTGTCCCAACTTCGCTTAGTGTCCCAACTTCGCTTAGTGTCCCAACCCAACTTCAAAAACTCCATGTTTGCTGAGCGTAGAGGCACGAGAAGCACCGAGCATTCTACTGAATGCCTCTACACAGACCACGTTACTCCTTTCAGGCACTGGGTCCCTGCTTGCTCCTTTGCTCACCACCTCTTGCTACTCTTGCCACGGTATGGCTGGTTGGTGGGGGGTTTTCCTCATACTCACAAACCTCCATCGTGCCCTTTACTCACTTGTTGCGCCCTCTATTCGAGATTGCATGTGGCTGCTTGGAAACAAGCTGACGGGCTCTATACCAGCGACGTTTACCAACCTCTTACTTCTGACCAGCTTGTGAGTTATTTGATCAGAAGAGCTATAAAGTCTTACGCAGTTTCTTGGGCTCACGTTTTGGCCTTCTGACGCCATTTTATTGTATCTCCCTGAACAGTCATATTCAAATGCAAATTCGCGTTTTCCCTCTATTGTAGTCCGTCATGCGATGGGATGTGATGAGATGTGATGTGATGAGATGTGATGTGATGTGACGTCATGGGATGAAATGTGGTGGATGAGATGTGACGTGATGAGATTTGAAGCAACGTTATTCCACACTCCCTTTATTTCTTCCTACTCTCTTCAACTCTACCAGCAATGCAAGCCCTTGTCTTGTCCCACCTCCGCAATGTTCTCAATGATACTATCTTGCTAGTTGACCTTGTTGTATCCTACCGAGATTCAGTTTGATTCTCTCTACCTGTCATATCATGCACTGCCAGGACCTAGCCTTGTTGCACGGTGCAACTGCTTTTGAATGAGGAGGAGGCAATGAAACTTACTCCGTAGAGTGACCATGGCACTGTTCTCATGCCTAGTGGTTAGTGCATGCATGCCTTATGCACCCTATGCTTGCCCTATGCATGCCCAATGCATGGCCTATGCATGCCCCGCATGTCTCATTCGTCTCTCTCGCCCACCAGGGACCTCGGCTACAATGAATTGACAGGCACCATTCCTGGCTTTCTTGGCAACCTCCCAAAGCTTGCTCACATGTGAGAGTGCCGCAGCTTGACTTTGGGTTGACTGACATGTAATCCGCATCGCATGCCATGTCACCCACATTACATCTGCACCACATGCTTTATCTCAACACCCCTGTAGGTCATCTCTGGCTTGCCACTCTTCCTGAGTGCTCAGCCCAAGCCACTCTGTGATTAATTTCTGATCTGCCATTCTGCCCCTTCACCCGCTTCCCTTGTCACATAAACCTGCCTGTGGTGTCTACTCCGCTCATACACTCCGCTCCCATTAAAAACAGTTATCTACATGGCAACAACCTGACTGGCTCGATACCTGCCTCACTGGGCAAACTTTCAGATCTCAGAGATTTGTGAGTCGCTTGACTTGCAATGGCAACGACTTTGCAATATCAACCTAGCCACTGGTGAGAGAGTGAGTGAACGTCTGTCAGCAGTTTTGCGTGCCTTACACACCATATACATGTGTAGTGTGGTCTTGGTGCTCATCAGTTTCAACCTAGCCAGTGGTGAGTGATTGAGTGAGTGAATACCCGTTAGCATAGTTAGATACTAAGTATCCATATCATACGTGTCTTACACACCACATAGATACATCATACATATGATATAGAGTGTGGTCTTTGTGCTCGTCCGCCTCCTATGTGCCCTCCGTCCATTTCTATCTGTCCTTGCAGAGTTGACTTTTGAGTCGACTCAAAAGTCACCCTTCCTACTAGACACGAGCACTTTTTCCAAACCTCAAACAGGTTCGGGTCGAACATGTTCGTTTCAAACATGTTCGAACCTTCTTTTTGGGAAATAAGGTTCGCCCGAACATGTTCGGGGTTCGTCCCGAACATGTTCGGTGTTCGAAAAGTTTATGGGGACAATTCCCGAACACCAAACATGTTCGGGAACTGTCCCCGCTTTTCCGAACATTAGATGTTCGGAAAAAACCAGCGCGACATTTGTCGCGCTGGTTGGATGTAAGTCCTACGGAAACCATAGATCGAGGTCATTTCAACCTCGATCTACCTTTTTAGGTTAAGTTCACAGCAGTAAGGAGTAGTAGGCTCATTTCCAGCCCATTTCCACCCAACTTAATGGTTACTTAGGTAAGTTAGGTTAATTAGTCGTTTAGTCGTTTTTCAAAGTAACTTACGTTCTTCCCACTCGCCCTGCCCTCTTCCCCCGTGTTCCCCACCCCCTAAACATGTATGGGCAGGTGTTGTTGTACTTAAAGTCATGAAACAGGAGTGGTGAAATCTGTTAACTCAGAGAATCTGCTAAGTCCTTATTTTCGAACACCAAACATGTTCGGAATTGGCCGAACATGTAGAGGTTCGGCGAACATTAAACATGTTCGCCCACACTAACCAAACACCGAACATGCAAAAAGTGAAAATAATGTTCGGGCGAACCGAACATGTTCGGTTCGCCCAATTATACGGTTCGGGGACGCCCAATTATACTGTTCGGGGACGTTCGGGCAAACATGTTTGGTGTTCGCCCGTTGCTCATGTCTACTTCCTACTATGTGCCCTCCATTTCTGTCGATCCTTGCAGAGTGTTGCACTTCAACAAGTTGACCGGCACGATTCCTGAATCGCTTTTCAATCTCACAAATCTTAACACGCTGTGAGTGCAGTGCAATGCAGTGCAGCTCGATGACTTCCTTGCTTTCCAGCCAGCTGAGCTGAGACCTCGATGACTTTTTAATCAACTCACAGAACTTAACACGTTGTGAGTGCGTGCAGTGCAGTCCTTCTTTGCTTCCCAGCCAGGTGAGCCCTAGCGAAACCCCTGTGCAATTCAGCATTCTTGAGGCACCTCAACGTGCATTTTGGCAAGTATGGGCCTTATCATGGTGTTGACCTTTGCACGCCTAGGGATTATTACCTTTACCATAAACTTTCCGTTATTTGAATGCAGGCAAATGCTCGAAACACTGGCTGGCTGAGCAAGAAGTAGGAGTTTCGGATGATTTCTTCTGGTTCATGTTGAGCAGCAAGACTAGCATTGGTGTTGATAAGCAAGAAGCTGTTGATGCTTAATTTGAGCAAGTTTCTGGCATGTGCACTGTGCTGCACTGCACTGTGCCGCGCTGCTCTTTGCCGCGCCGTTTTTTCTCCTTGAACGTATGTGTGCTTCCGGCTCATCGTATCACTCTCTATTAAGTAGTATACTACAATCCTAATCTGACCTCTACTCTCCCTTCATATACACCCTATTGTCCACGGAATGCAGCAATCTTCTAGGAAACGATCTAACTGGCTCAATCTCCCCAGCAGTAGGCAACCTTGAAGCATTGATGGCCGTGTGAGTAGGAGGCTTCAGGATGAATCTGGGATGAGGTTTCTTGTATAGGAAGTAGTGAGAGGCAGAGGTCAGAGGAAAGGGTCAGAGGCAGAGTCACAGGCAGATTTTGTAACTTAGGGGTTGCTGGAAGTGCATGATTATGGTGAACAGGAGGAGATTGTGGCAATGGAGTGAGAGTTAACTTTTGAATTGACTCAAAAGGTTGCAAAGAATGAAATTGCAAAGCGGTGATGGGAGTGCATGATTATGGTGGAGAGGAGAGGAGAGGAGAGGATTGTGTCGGTCGATGGTAATGTGAGAGTTAACGATCTTGCAATACTTCGCATAGATAGAATACTATTATACTTGGGTAGAATTTCCCTTGATATTATATTTTGTTGGTAGTGGCCCTGGGTTCTACAATTCGATGTTGGTAAAGGGGGGTTGTGGCGGGAAAGTTGGACATGGATTTCTGTGCGTGTTTTACTCAAAACAGGTGTGTTTTTAGTCGGCTCAAAACACACAGAGGGGGTTGTGGCGGACAGTTGGATACGATTCCTGTGCGCCTCTGTAGCACCGGATGCACCCCTTCCTTCATTGTCCACCCATCATCATCATCATCATCATCATCATCATCATCATCCCTCCAATGGCAGGAACCTTGGCTACAACAGCTTCACAGGGCCCATTCCTGACTCTATTGGCAAGCTCACTTATTTAAACGCTTTGTAGGTGTTTAGTAGTACGTACCTTCTTGGTTTGACATGTGAGGCAGGAGGACCAAACATTGGTCGCTATCTGATTGATGAGGAACACTTCTAAGGTTAAGTGGTTTGCATTTAAGCCCTAGCGTTTTCACCCACGATGCGTAGCACTGATCTGGTTTAAAATGAAGAGATAGAAAGCGTTGCTTACAGAGATGAACCCCCTCTGCCAAGTCGCTGGGAGGTTTAGGGCAACGAGTAACAGTGTCTTTCAAAAGCTACTGCAGAGTTGAATTGCAGGCTAGTAAATACGAGTACTTGATTTCTCTAATAGTAGAACTTGCCTCGCCTCGGCTAAGTAGTTTGGCGAGACAAGGTCTCATCGCTCGTCCTTGACGCTCGCCAAGTAATCAGATGCTCGCCTTGCTGCTCATGCGGCATGCCTATCTTATTCAATCCAAAACAGCCATTCGCTCATAAAACCTCGTCCCTTCTAAAATATATTCTGTGATACGTGCAGACCTGGGAGCAATTTCTGCCATGAGCTTTATCTCTAAACGTCTCAAACTGATGCTAATACTATCCACTTTGCAACTCATTATATCACATCCCCGTTGTTCAATTGCAGATTGCTATGGGGAAACAAAATGACAGGCTCGATACCGGCAACAATGGGCAACCTTTTATACCTGACTGGCTTGTAAGTCCTTTCAGAAGACGAACTGTAAGGCTCATTCCTTGTGAACCTCGTAATGATTCCTTCCTGTGGTCCTTCATACGCATTGCTTCATTTTACTGCTTACATGATATATTTTCTGGTTACATCCTTCGATTTATAGTGAATGCTATTTGATTTACGCATGATTGTTTCAATTTCTTACCACAAATTCATTGAGCAGTCAACATGTATAAGTTCAATCATCCTATTTCAGCTGTTTCCTGCTGCTGTTCCTACATCAGATACCTTGCTTTTAACAACCTGACTGGCAGCATCCCAGAGTCCATTGGCAACATCGTGCAGCTCGAAACCTTGTAAGCAAGTATAATTGCTCTCAGCACAAGCCACAGGACATGAGCCTAACAGCCTGACTGGCAGCATCCTAGGGTCTACTGGGAACCTCGCGCAGCTCGCAACCTTGTAAGCAGCCAGAATTAGAAGCATGCCCATCGTGCCTTGTGCTGTTTGCCTATGGTGCCTCCTGGGCCACAGCACGACCTGCAAGAGCAGTGAGGTTGTGACGTGCGCTATCACTCTATCTCTTAAACCCGGTTCGACCCGGACCGGTCATGCCTGTTTGCGACATTGTTTTGGCTCTATGTGTTAACAACATTGATATGGCTCTGTGTATGCTCAGCAATGCTCCCCAGCAATGCTTCCCCTGCTGCAGTGAACTCTCAAGGACCAATCTGACCCGGACACCTCCCTCCATCCAAAACTGGGCAAACGTTCTAAACTCATTGTTACAGACGCACCTCAAAACAGATTACATGCATGCATGTGGCTCTGCGGATGTGCAAAGCTGCTTTGGATCTTGTATCCTCAACAATGCTCTCCATGCAGGGAGGTTTCAGAGACCAACCTGACCGGACACCTCCCTCCCACACTGGGACGACTCTCCAAACTCAATGAGCTGTAAGATATTATGATTTTTTGCTAAAATATATATCTGCATATATATATATATATATATATCAGATACCTGACTATAATACTGGCGAAACTCTTCAAGCTCAAAGACTGGTAAGATACTCTGTCTGTCGTGCCTTCCCTCGAGTTCTGCAAACCAAGGATGTGAAGAAGAGAATTTGCTGGCACCTCAAGGAGTACCGCACATCGGAGACCTAACTCCACACGTGCACATGGAGTTTAACTGTTGTTCGTTGTGACGGCCCAACTTCAACCTTCTTGCTAGTGCTTCAATACTTACCTCTTTCAAAGATCCAACCCTTCCTTCCCCCTCCCTCACTCCTTCCTTCCTCACTCCTTCCTTCGTCTCTCCTTCCTTCCTCACTCTTACTTTCCTCACTCCTTCCTTCTTCTCCCCTTCCTTCCTCACTCCTTCCTTCTTCACTCCACCTTCCTCACTCCTTCCTTCCTCACTCCTTCCTTCCTCACTTGTTCCTTCCTGATGTGCAGGTCGCTGAATGGAACTGCAGTTACATGCCCACCTGACAGCACCCCATGTGTGGTTCAGCAGTCTTCTCAAAGCGCTTTTTGCAGCGCGTGCCCCTCGTTCTGTTCCACTTGTGTCAAGTCAGCACCAGGTAAGTAAAAACAAAAACAAAATAAGAAACGACCATAAACAGAACAAAAAGAAAAGGGGTGGTTGTTGTGACTCGATTGATTCCCACCAATCACATCAGTTCATTTTTGGGCAGATCAATTATGCATGCCACAAAGCTTACGGCACTTGCCATGTCTTTGGCAAACTTTCTTCCCTCCCACTCAATCCAAGTGCAACCTCCCTGTATATATAATATGTACATGTATATTTGCCGATAAATGTACATATGTGTGTGCGCAGCGCACGTAGATATTACGTGCATACACATCCTATAATATATAGACACAACTCTTTTTATATCCATCTTCCTTCTGATCTTCACCCCCACTTTCAGCACCCCTCTCCCCATCTCCAACCCCCCTCTTCCGCACCTACAGCAACCCCTCACTCGCCCGAAGCCTCTCCCTCCCAGTCTGGAAGCGGTCTCTCTGTGGGAGCCATTGCCGGCATTGCTGTGGCTGCTGTGATGCTGCTGATCATTGGTGTGCTGCTGTGGTGCTGGAGAGGCCACAAGAAGCGAGCAGCACGTGCTGCAGGTATAGCACACATGGAGATAACACACAAATATAGCACACATTGAGATAACACACAAATATAGCACACATGGAGATAACACACAAATACAGCACACGTGGAGATAACACACAAATATAGCACACATGGAGATAACACACAAATATAGCACACATTGAGATAACACACAAATATAGCACACATGGAGATAACACACAAATACAGCACACGTGGAGATAACACACAAATATAGCACACATGGAGATAACACACAAATATAGCACACATTGAGATAACACACAAATATAGCACACATGGAGATAACACACAAATACAGCACACGTGGAGATAACACACAAATATAGCACACATGGAGATAACACACAAATACAGCACACGTGGAGATAACACACAAATATAGCACACATGGAGATAACACACAAATATAGCACACATGGAGATAACACACAGGTATATCACACACAGAGATAGCACACAGGTAAAGCATGGAGAAATGAAACGTGCACCCTCGAGAAGAGAGACCTTCAAGTCAAGAAATACATGTCATTGTCATGGCCAAATGTGAGTGAGAACCCAGGAGTAGGTATGGGGCTAGCGGGCAATATCGCGGTTTTTTTTTTTTTTTTACCAAGCTGATTCACGGAAGCTCGTTCGCATTCGAGTTGTGATTCATTCCCGTGACCTTTTTGCGCCTCCCGTTGGTGCCATTCCCGCAGGACCCCATCCAGACATCGCTCACCCGTCTCCCCAAGGGCTTGCAGACCAAGGTCGTGGGCATGTTAAAAACATCCTCTGCTACATGGGGCTCATCGGTGCGCCCATTGCAGATGAACGCGAGCTCTCAAGCAGTGTCTGCGCCATCTCGCGTTCGTCTGCGATATGAGCGCCGCTGAGCCCCATGTAGCGGAGGATGTCGTTAAACATGCCCACGGCCTTGGCCTACAAGCCCTTGGGGAGCCGTAGGAGCGATGTCTGGATGGGGTCCTGCGGGAATGGCACCAACGAGAGGCGCAAAAAGGACACGGGACTGAATCACAGCTCGAATGCGAACGAGCTTGACTGCGGAGCACCTTCCGTGAATCAGCTTGGTAAAAACAGACAAATGTAATACCGCCCAGTAGCCCCGTATCCCACCCTTTGAAAGCTCAGCTTGTCTTTGTCTACTCATGGGGAAAGAGTGGCAAGATAGAGTCAGGTAGAGTCCTCCATCAGTCCACCTCTCTCTCAAGCCAATCCTTCTACTTTCAAGAATTTTACATAGGGAAGCGGCACAACAAGCAGCAGGTAGATACATTCACTTCCTTCTCTGCCTCCCTCTATGTCATATCATTAACACTGTTCGGGTTTTTGCCAAGGAAAGGAAACATAAGAAGAAAACAAAAATCTTCTAAGGCACCTTGAAAGTCAGTTATACCCGCCTGGACCTGGCCAGCTTTCTTTGAGATTCCTTAAACTAATGTGGGTTGCTACATGCCTCTGCTGCTACCACACACCGAATCAAGCTCAACACGTTCACTCCTCACCCCCTCCATCCCTCACCACACTTCCAACCCTCATCCCTTACATATGAAACCCTTACAGGATGGGCCCGCAACATACGGGGCGCTCAGTGCACGGAGTACTCTCTTGAGGAAGTCCTCAAAGCCACCAGCAACTGGTCTCTAGACAACCATCTTGCCTCGGGTACCTTTGGTGACGTGTACAAGGGCGTGTGTCCACACGATGGCACCACCCTGTGGGCCGTCAAGCGAGCCAAACTTATTGACGTGGATCTCCAACGGGAGGTGAGGCGGCACTATATGGGCTACGTGCTCATTAGCTAGGGATATGATTGTTAAATATCACTTTTTTTATCCGCTTTCAACACATGGCATACGTTTTGAGACATTCCAAAAGCCACTCCTCCCCTCCATGGCAGGCCTCTCTCATGGGAAACCCATTCCATTGACGATTGCTACTCCCCCCGTCATGCCATGTTCTTCTCGCAGGTCCTGCAAATGGCCGACAAGAACCATCCCAACATCGTGCGGCTGCTTGGGTTTGCTGTTGGAGGGGACATGAGGACACGACCAGAGCAAATCTTGATCTACGAGTTTGCTCCCAACGGCGACCTTGGCCAGTATATTACGAAGGGTACGCACCACGTTCTTTTTTTCAACCAACCTATATTCTTCTACTGAACACTATAATAATGGAGAGACTTTGCTCCGAACATTGAACTTTATCTGTACACGAGGAAACGAGCTGGATAAAATAATGATTCGTTCTTTTTCACTCGACATTGACAAGTAACAATTGAAGTATTTCGATTCAACTTCTTTTCTAAACGTGTAATGCATATGTTGTGTCATTCATTGTGCCACCCAACTTTTGTCACTCATGGTGTGTGATTCATATCTTGTCACTCTCATGTCCTTTCCTCTCTTATTGTGTGCATGTGTGCAGAGGCGTCCGTCTCTCTCACCTTCCAGCAGCGGCTGGACATCCTCATCGGTGCGGCACGTGGCTTTGAGTACCTCCACAGCTTTGGCCTTGTGCATCGCGACATCAAGCCCACCAACATTCTTCTCGAAGCGAAGATGCAGGCAAGCGAGGGAGCACATAAACATGCACCCCAGACAACAAAAATGAAACAATACTACTATGACAACTTTGATGTCAAATCCACACTATAAAAGGCAGAATGTTGGGAAGAATGTTGATCGACCTTACAGTTGAGCAATGGATCATGTCTCGACATAGGCCAAGTACAACCGGGGAGCCTAGTCATTACCAACAAGTGATATCGGAGCTGAGGATCTGGGGAACCCCAGCTGTTACCACTGTGAAACTTTGGCTCCAATATCACTTGTTGGATAAGCACAACAGTTACCATTGTGCTTCTTGAAATATTTGTTTTTTGTGAAGCAGCTTCACAATTCTCCTTGCATCTTTGCCACCGCCCCTTTTACCAAAGAACACACCATCGTGACTTAAGTACTCCCTTTTTAGGATTGTGTACATATGGATTTGTTGCACCTTGCTTATGTAAGTGATCAACTCAGAGCATTAATTGTTTTTTCCCCTATCTTGCTTTTTGCCCGTGTTTCAATCATTACTCCATCCGACAGGCCAAGATCGCCGATTTTGGGTTGTTGAGGGTGGGCGAGGGCACCACTGTGGGCACGACTCGGGTCATGGGAACACCAGGCTATGTGGATCCCATCTACTCACTCACGTCCAAGGCCACCACTGCCACCGATGTCTACAGGTGAGCTATGTTTGAGACGCCTCACAAAACATCCAAGGCAACCACCGATGTCTACAGGTGAGCTATGTTTGAGACGCCTCACAGAACATCCAAGGCAACCACCAATGTTTAAGGTGAGCGATGTTACAGATTATACGCTTTGTGGTTTACATTTGTACCCCACAGTAGCCTTGATCAAAAGAACAAAAAAATCTGTTCGGTTCGCCATGACGCATTCTTAAACTGTTTGTCGATTCTGTTTCGCCCAGACATGTTTATGTTCGGTTCGTCGCAGAGAACTGAGCCGCGTCGTACATGAACACATTCGTGTTCGACATTGGTTGCGATGAACATATTCCAGATTGACTCGTTGGTCGCGAGACTCGAAGTCAGAGGCAGCAAATTTGACTTTTGTCGACTAGAGAAATAGAGCTCATTGAGCTCACCCTCACTCTAGCTCTGCCACTACTTCGTCCTCTATCGCTCATCTACACTTAAATCTATTTCACCTTGACGAGTGCCAGTTGCGGAGAGTCACCCTACAACAGGAGTAGATTATAGACATGGGCATAAGACCCGACGGGTCGGGTCGACCCGTCCCGTCCCGCATTTTTTGGCGGGACGGGTCGGATTGCCAAGACATGCCGACCCGCGGGTACGGGTCGACCTGTCCCAGACGGGTCGGGTCGACCCGTGACCCATTTTAACCCCATTCGAACGAGACGGGCCGACCCGTGCGACCCGTAGGGGGGGAACGGCCCATTCCGTATATGGGTCGTTACTGGGAAAATGGTCGGGTTGACCCGACCCGTTTGCGGGTGGAACGGGACCCGCAAATGTCACTCCATATTTTAGGTCATTGGGGGTCTTAGTTGCGAAAGACGCAGGGCGCGTCATGCGTCCTACGTCTGGACGCAGCGTCCGGACGCAGGGACGCAGGACGCACGGCGGTTTTTTTTTCGGGCTGACCGAAAAACAAAATCGCCAGCGCGAAGTTGACATTCGCGATTTCGACGCGACTGTCAAATTTGCGACATTTCGACCCCCCCCTAACCCATTTCGACCATCAAAAACAGCCCACGCACAACATTTGTGTAACCCCCCATCACCAAAATTGTAAACCCAACCCCTCACAACCCAACTACATCTAGAAAACCAAGCCATGGTGGACCACCACCAAGCCCATTTTTGGAGCTCAAACTCTTCATTTGTGTTCCATCTCTTTATATCAACACAATTTTCCTTCGTAAACCCTAGAGGGCTTAGCTACCTTTCGCTCCATAGTGCTACCTTTTGCTCCATAGCTACCTTTTTTCCTCACATGTGTGATATGTCGTCCTCCCCCCCCCTTCCCATGCCCTATAACGTGTTTTTTTGGCTGCCCGGGGGTTTTTTTTGCCCTTCCCGGGCATGCGTCTTTTGTAGCGTCTCCCAGGCCCACATGAAGCGTCCTGCGTCTAAGACGCTGCGTCTGGACGCACCCGTCTAAGACGCAGGACGCGTCTTTTGCAACTAAGTTGGGGGTCGACATTTCGAACCCCCAACTTCAGATCTAGTTGCGACTAACCAGATCTAGTCTTAGACCTAAGCCTTACAACTACTGCAGATTCTTTGACGAAGTAACTTAACTGGAAGCCTAGATTAACGCAATCTGTCCTACATCAGCCAGGGTCCGATTTGTCACAGTGCATCAGCAGCTGCACGCAGCTGCGTAGAGCAACGCGCGCGGCTGCAGAGGACTACGCGCGGAAACCACACAGTTCGCGCGGTTATGTAGCGTTGTCCATGAGACTTTGGTAGTACTGTTCGTAGGATGATTAGTAGGCTTAACTTATTTTTCAGTTCAACACTATATTTTGCAAGGGATATTTTAGCAGGTTTGTTGTCACCCAGCAGCAAGGCGACTTGTCATTCAGCATGAAGGTGGTTTGCCAGAGCTGCAGCAAGGCGGCTTGCCAACGTTGCACTAACTAAGGTGCCAACGATGCATCTGCAGGTGAACCCCTCGCACATGTGCGTCACCTACAAAAGTAGGTGCAAGTCTGCTCAACACACGGTTACGAGCACGTCGTCCACGGGATCCACATTGCATAGGTGCCAGTTTCTAAAGCACATGATGCCGATTCCGCAGGTCGACTTTCGCCAAAACCTCCTGGGGCAAAATTCGCGCACATGCATAATTTCGCTGACCAGTAATTCCGATCTACCAGAAATACGCCGCTCAGCCGACACCGCCGACAGTATTAATTCCGTCGGTCTGCTCCCCGCCGGTGATCGCTTTCGTCCGCCGGTGAGACTTGACGCCACCGTCGACTTAATTCCGTCAACCAGCTCCTTGTCGGCTTTCACTATCGTCACCTCGAAAGTCCGCCGACACCGACGAGTTAATATCGTCGACGGAGCCTTCGAGAACAGTACCCCGAACCGAAGTCGCCGTCGACCACAAAACGCAACCGGCTACACACCTTTGTCTACCACACAGCGAGGCCGAATTTGCCCAAGCGAGGGCGGGGTCTTCTTGTCAACGCCGGTTCGCGACGTTTTGCCGCCAGATCCATGCGAATCGGCCATTTCGCCATCAGAACCGTATGGATCGGGCATTTTGTCGTCAGATCGGCGCACGACCTGGCACTGGGATATATGAAGCAGGTGGGGAGGAAAGGGTGCCTCGATTTCAGATTTGTTCGAACACCCATTTTGCTAGTAAACCCATTTAGATTTCGCACACGGGAATGTTGTGTGACTGTAATGAAAGTACAATTTGAACCAAACACGAACATGTTAGCCGGAAACATGCTAATGTTCGGGGCGAACATGCTAGTGTTCGACTTCTGTTGAACACTCGAACACCACATGAGGTGTTCGACCCAACATGGTCGACCCAAACGTGTTCGTATTTGGGTTTTGCTCATGCGTACCCCACAAAACCGCCCTCGATAGTGTTCATTCCCTTCCCCCCTTCACCTCCCCCCGCCTTGTTGTGCCCTCCGTGTGTGTGCAGCTTTGGTGTGCTCATGCTTGTGGTGCTCACCGGTCATAGCCCCCACTCGTCCGATGGTGAAAAGAACGGCCACATTCTGCAATGGGTAGGTGCTGTGCTGCTGCTGTGCTGCTTCTTTGTGACATGTCGCTGTGAAACATGCGATTGATTCAAACTTTTTTTTGTGATGGGAAGAACAGCCACATTCTGCAATGGGTAGGTGCTTTTGTGCTGCTTCTATGTGAACAGGTGGAGGAGTGCATTTCCTCCAACAACTCTGGCGGCCTCAAGGACCTCAGCATGGACGCCCCAGATGATGCTGTGCTGCGCCTTCCCCTGTCCCCATCTCCACTCACACTGTTCCATCAACTCAATCCGTCAGGTGGAGGACTGCATCTCCTCCAACAACCCGGCCTCCCTCAAGGACCCGAGCATGGACGCCCCGGATGATGCTGTGCTACGCCTGGTGGGCCATCTTGTTGTTCAACGCCACCCCTTGCTGCCAACTATGTGTGTGTCAGGTGGAGGAGTGTATCTCTGCCAACAACTCTGGTGGCCTCAAGGAAATGGACATGGACGCTCCGGATGATGCTGTGCTGCGCCTGGCCCAGCTGGCGCTCTCCTGCACCGTGGAGCGCACTGCCAGCCGCCCCAACATGTCATACGTTGCCAGCGAGCTGCAGGGAATCAGGCACGAGGTGGTGGGGAAGGAGGAGCTGAGTGCCGCGGTCAAGGTGGATGAGCTCGCAAAGGAGAGGCGGATTGGGATGTCGCTTAGGAAAAGCTTGGGTGCAGAGCTGGAGGCTATTGTGAGCATGGACGATGAGGAAGAGGAGAAATAAAGATGATAAGCGTTGATGAGCAAGCTCAGGCAAGGCGGGTTTGAATGCCGTTCGGGGATAGCTTGGCTGAAGAGCTGGAAGCTATTGGGAGCATGGATGAGGAGGAAGAAGAGTCTAATGGGGAGCAAGGAGGCAAGGCTATTCAGTCAAGTCTGGGCTTGGCGGTATAGCTGGAAGCTATGGTGAGCGCGGATGAAGAGCCTTATTCAGGTTGTTCAATACTGATCTGGCAATGGGGAGCTGTGGGGAGCAAGCAGGCAAGGCCATTGGGACTTGGCAGTGCAGCTGGAAGCTAATAGGAGCATAGATGAAGAGGAGTCAAACGGGGAGCAATCGGGTTGATAAACACTGATCTAGCAATTGGGAGCAGTGGGGAGCAGTTGGGAACAGTGGGGAGAAATTGTGAACAGTGGGGAGGGAGCAATGGGGAGCATTGGGGAGCAATGAGGAGCAGTGGGGATGCAGTGTTGGAGATCTATTAGGAGCATGGATGGAGGGGACTCCCAACGGGGAGCAATCGGGTTTACCGTATGAACACTGGTCTAACAATGAGTGGGGAGCTGTGGGGAGGAGCAACCAGGTAACTGAGTACTGATCTTCAATTGAGTACTAATCTTGACTGATAAAGCAATGAGAAGTGGGGAGCTGTGAGGAGGAGCAACCAAAGTAACTGAGTACTGACCTTGGCTCAGGCAAGTTTAGATGGCTGCAGTGCTGGAAGCTACTGGGGGAATGGATGGAGATGGGCCAAACAGGGAGAGACTGGGTTGATGAAAAGATATAACAACAGGTAGCCATGGGGAGGGGAGCAAAAGGTAACTGAGAATTGACTGATAATGTGACACAGATTGGCTTGGAAACCTGTATGTAAGGGTGTCTGTGTGTTGTGATGAGTGAAAAGATGGTGTGGTAGTCCTCATTGCGTTCCTCTAAAGTTGCTAGTCTTGATGTCCGTGTTTATTTTATCAGTCGCTCAAAAGCAGCGTTCGTCACTTGAGAAAACGTACCATAATAAGCATGTGACTTCAGCAACGTGTCACTCACGTACGCCATGCGGCTTCAGTAAATAGCTAGTGAACCGCTTTGTTGAACTGCTTTGTTAAATTGCATGTGCTCATACACTAGTATGATCGGTGCCAACATAAACAATGCAACACGTACATCAAGGAGGTCAACTTCTCCTTAATCCTCGTTACCGAAGCATTATTGGCCTTCTCCTTCCTGGTGGTACTGGTACGACTGCCTGGCCTTTGACAATTCTGCAGAACCTCCACCTGTCAGAATCTAGCAGCAGGAATGATTGAACTATCAAAGAGTTGGGTACAAGTATGAAACCCTAAAAGGGGCTGTACCCCATATTGGCTACCCCACTACAGCCTACACATATATAGCATGCATATACTTTGACACACCCCCATAGGCAAAGTGGGGGAGAGCAAGGGGTCACAAGACCAGTCAAGAGAAGCAAAGCAAGCTCAGGGTGGATCACAACGTCACCACACACACTGAGCACAAGCAAAGGGCCACAAGGCCAGTTCACATGCAGGGGTATATATGAAAAAACAACAGCACAGTGATCTCTACCTAGCAGAGCAAGCATGAAGGTATATATAGATCACAGTACAAGCAAACTCTACAGCAAGTGAGGAAACGTGGGCACAAGGCCTAACAGAGTGCAGAAACGCTGATGATCACCAGACGGAAGCGCCTTGGTGAATATATCAGCAGTGTTGGCCCGAGTGGCCACGTGAGCAAGACGAAGCTGACCACGCTGCTGCAACTCTCGAGCCAGGAAGTAACGCAGAGCGATGTGCTTCGTTCTGTGCTCCAGTCTGTGCTCCTGACACAAGGCAATGGCGGCCTTGTTGTCGACGTACAGCACTGGAGGAGAACGAGGCCGCTCTCCCAAGTCGGTCAGCAGGTAGGTGAGCCAGCGTAACTCCTGTGCAGCCATGGCTGTGGCGTAGATCTCAGCCTCACAACTGGAGCTGAGAACTGAAGACGAGCGTGTAGAACGCCAAGAAACCGAACCAGAGCCAAGGCTGAAGGTGTAACCCTGTGACGACCGCTGCGTAGCCTGGTCGTCAACCCAAGAAGCGTCTGAGTGGCCAGTGAGGACAACGTCGCTCCGTCCTCCAAGCACGAGCCCCATGCCCGATGTACTGCACAAGTAGCGTAGTACCCTCTTAGCAGCATCCATGTGCACCTTTCGGTGCCGACCAGGAGCCACGTAGCGAGCCAGAAGGCCAAGAGGGTATGCAAGGTCAGGACGAGTGCAGGTCATCAGGCACATGAGGCAGCCCACTAGCTCTGGGTAAGGACCACTCGGCTCTACGGACTCGTCCGAAGGTGGAGCTGAGAGCGAGTGACCTGTAGCCAGAGGAGTGGCCTGTGCCGAGGACCAGGTGAAGCCGAAGCGCTGAAGGACCTGCTGCACCATGTGTGACTGAGTCAGTGTGATGGTGCGGCGTGCTCTGTCCCGGGTGATCCGCAAGCCAAGATAGCTTGTCAGCTCACCCAGGTCTGTGCACGTGTGTCTCTTCTGCAGCTCCGACATCACCAGGGCGAGAGCCTCAGTGTCAGCAGTGGCAAAGACCAAGTCGTCGATGTACACGAGGATGTAGAACGGCGGCAGCGAAGTGTCGGTGCGCAGAAACAGCGACGGGTCAGCAGTCGACGGAGCAAACCCAAGAGCCGCAAGTGTCGTCCTCAGTGTGTCGTGCCACTCACGTGGCGCCTGGCGGAGACCATAGACCGGCCGCCTGAGGCTCCACTGGTTACCAGGAGGGAACGACCCAGTGAAGCCAGGTGGGCGGCGCAGCCAGATCTCCTCGTGCAGGCTGCCTTGTAAGAAGGCTGTGCTGAAGTCAAGAGAGTGAAGCTCGTAGTCACGCTGAGCGGCAACGTGCAGCAGCACCCGAAGAGTGGTCATCTTCGGGGTGGGGGAGAAGGTCTGGAAGAAGTCTACTCCCTCTCGCTGACTGAAACCTCGTGCAACGTAACGCGCCTTGAAGGCAGGCGGAGAACCTGGCGGCCGCTTCACCCTGAAAATCCACATGCCACTGACGATGTTCGCCCCAGGTGGGGGAACCTCGTCGACGTAGGTGCCTGTGGACTTCCAGGATGCCATCTCTGCATCCATGGCTGTCTGCCACTGAGAGGAGTACTCACCCGCGATCGCCTCAGCGTAAGAGCGCGGGGTCGGGATGTCTGGAGCATCCGGGTCTCCCTGAGGGGCAAGCAGCATGGACACGAGATGAGGCGCAGCGGCTGCAAGACACTCAAGGTCCTCCTGCCTGTCCTCAAGGACGTCCGTGCCAAGAGCACACTCACCCCCGACGGACGGAGGACAGACAGACTCAGACTCAGCAACAAGACTAGCAGCGTAGTCTAGACGACAGGCAGCAGCAAAGTCAACAAGCTCAGCAACTAAGGCAGACGTAGCAGCAGACTCAAACGACGGGTCAGTGACAACAGTGGCTAGCAGACGCGTGACAGTAGGGTGCTCAGCACGAAACCGGTCAGACTCGGGGTCCGCAACGACAGGCAGAGAAGACGCAGGAGGGGACGGCAGAGGAACACGCTGCGGAGGAGAGGAAGGACGACGGACTACGAGGTGGGTGTCGGGGACAGCCGGCAGACGCGGACGAGAAACACGACGACCGGAACGACCAGAACAGACAGGCGAGACCGGACGCGACGCAGGCTCACGACGCTCAGTAACACCCCCTAGCTGCTTAGTGTAAGGAGAAGGAGCAGGCAGCGGTGAGCCAGGCTGTAACGGAAGACCAGTAGACGAAGGGAGACTAAGAACCTGGCGAAGCACAGAGTCAGGCGGTGGCTGAGACGACGGAGACGGTGGAGCGAAGAACAGGCGCGGCTGTGCAGTGACACCAGCACCAGCAGCTCCAGTACCCCCAGCAGCTCCAGCACCTCCAGCAGCTCCAGAACCTCCAGCGCCAGCACCCTCAGCAGCTCCAGAACCTCCAGCTCTAGCGCCACCAGCGCCAGTACCTCCAGCAGCTCCAGAACCTCCAGCACCAGCACCCTCAGCAGCTCCAGAACCTCCAGCTCCAGCGCCACCAGCGCCAGTACCTACAGCAGCTCCAGAACCTCCAGCGCCAGCACCCTCAGCAGCTCCAGAACCTCCAGCTCCAGCGCCCTCAGCAGCTCCAGAACCTCCAGCAGAAACAACTCCAGTGGCAGAGTCACCAGCTCCAGCGCCTCCCGCAGCAGGGCCCCTAGCTCCAGCAGCGCGACCCTGACGGCCAGCGTACCACTCAAGCAGCTGCTGTGGGGAGAGAGGGAGGCGACGACGAGAGTGCAGCGGCGAGGCACCAGCGGAGCGACTACGGAGACGGTCGCTCCAGGGAGACTGCTCACCAGACGCCTCAGCGCCCCCAGGCTCAGCACCCCCAGACTCCTCACACCCAGGCTCAGCACCTCCAGTCTCCGCACCCCCAGGCTCCGCACCTCCAGGCTCCGCACCCCCAGGCTCAGCACCCCCAGGCTCAGCACCCCCAGGCTCCACACCCCCAGGCTCAGCACCCCCAGAAGCAGCACCCCGAGCAGGACCTGAGTCACCAGTGACCTCAACCGGCTCAGTCAAGGGAGGAGGGTCTACCTGAGACACACCTGAAGGAGCAGGACCGGGAGCGGGGAGGGGGTCTACCTGGGGAGCACCTGGAGCGAGGAAGAGCGGCGGGGGGGGGAGAGGGGCAGTGCGGTAGGGGAAGAGACGGTAAAAGGGAACCGACTCGTCGAACGTGACGTCCTGAGAGGGGAAGACACGGCGCGAGGTGGGGTGGTAAAACTGCCAACCAGGCGCGTCACGGACAAAGCCAAGGAAGACACAGGGAACAGCGCGGGCGGAGAGCTTGTCCGCGGTGGTATCGCGGACAAAGGCACGAGCACCCCAGACCCGGAAACGCGACGCATCGCCAACCTTCCCCGTCCACAGCAGTGTGGGCGAGGTCTCCGGCAAGGAGACACGGGGCCAGAGGTTGAGCTGATGCGCGGCGTAGCGGACCGCAAACGGCCACAGAAAATGGGGGGCAGCCGCATGGATCATGGAGGTACGAGCGACCTCCATGACTAAGCCAATGCGGCGCTCAGCAACCCCATTCTGCTGCGGAGAGGCCGGAAGCGTGAACGTCTGGCGGATGCCGTGCTCCGCACAGTAGGCTGCCAAGAGGTCTGAGGAGAACTCACCACCTCTGTCAGAGTGCAGACGCAGGACAGGAAAGTCCGACTGGAACCGCTCGCGGAGCTGGAGACGAACAGCGCGGATCCAGGGGATCAAAACATCAGGGACCTCCCCCTTGCTGCGCAAGGGGAAGACCGTGGTGTAACGCGTGTAGTCGTCGACGACCAGCAGGAAGTACCGCTCGTGGCCCTGTCCACGGACGCGGGCTGGGCCCCACACGTCCAGGTGGAGAGTCTGCAGGGGAGCCTCAGTGGGAGGGAACGAGGAGGAGTGAGGAGCGGCGCGCTGCCGCCCCTCGACACAGGGAAGACAGGGAGGAGCAGGCGAGGGTGGTAGAGGAGGCAGAGTCTCTGGAAGTCCAGAGACAAGGAAACGGCGGTGCATGCTACGAAGGTGCTGCACCGAGGGGTGACCAAGGCGGTGGTGCCAAAGGAGGGTCTGGTGCGACAAAGCGCGATACGAGCAGAGGGCCGCTAGCTGACCTGACGCAAACGCAGACGCAGACGCAGCTACCTGAGGGGACACAGTGGTCAGTGTGTACAGACTCGAGCCAGGCTCTCGGGTGAACGTGGCCAGGTGCCGACCAGTCCGGGAGCACGTACAGTGGGTCACACGCTGACCTCCAGGGGTGAACTGGTCAACCCACACATCCTGTAGGTCAGCTCCACTCACCAAGTTCGTAGAGAACGAGGGGAGGTGAAGACCTGACAGGGAGCCAGACGGGACCGCCGGACACGGCAGGACCGTGGAGGAGTGCGCAAGGACTGGACCCCCAGAGGGGTCTGCCAGGGAGACTGCAACCGGCCGACGAAGCGGCGTGAGGGTGGTGCTGTCGCGAAAGAAGGAGCGGGAAGCACCTGAGTCAAGTGTGAAGGTGTACAAGGCCTCAGCAGGCGCAGTACCAGAGAGAGCAGACTCACCAGGACCTGGAGCAGCAGCCTCACCAGCACCTAGCGCTGGAGACGCACTAGCACCTAGAGCAGCAGCCTCACCAGCACCTAGCGCAGGAGACGTACTAGCACCTAGAGCAGCAGCCTCACCAACACCTAGGGCAGCAGGATCTATACCTGGGTCAGGCGGTACGCATAGGGAACAGGCACGGTCAGCACTAGTAGGCAATGCATACATGGCAGTGAGAATAGCATCATAGTCAAGAGCAAAGATATCTACCCTCTGCCCAAGCAGCTCCAGCCAGGTGGGGAGCTCAGCCTCGTCGCCAAACTCGGTACGCCAGGCGTCGCTCAGACGGGCGAAGCAGCGGGACTGGGTGTGACCAAGTGTCCCGCAAGCCTGACCAGCCCGATCACCTGTGCGAAGGACGTACGGGCAGCGAACGGTACTCCGAGACCCTCGACTCTGAGCGTACCACTCGTGAAGCTGCCGGGACGTAAGTGTCTCGCGCGGACGCCGCTGCAGCTGCAGCTGGCCACTGCCAGACGCTCCCGACCGACCAGCCCCAGGGCGACAGCCACGACTGCTACCGCCACAACCCCAACTAGCGTACCACTCACGAAGCTGCTGAGGCGTGAGAGACTCGCGCGGACGTCGCTGGAGCTGCATCTGGCCACCGCCAGTAGCAGTAGTAGCAGTAGTAGCAGCAGCAGCAGCAGCAGCAGCAGCAGCAGCAGCAGCAGCAGCAGCAGCAGTCTAGCAGTAGTAGTAGCGCGGGCAGGGCAGGCAGGCAAGCAGGCGTGGCAGGCAGGCAGGCAGGCAGGTAGGTGCTCACCGGTGGCGAGAAGGGCAGGCGCACGACGGCGGCGACGGCGGGGCCGCGACAGCTGCGGCAGAGCAGGATAGCGTCGGAGGTAGGGCAGGTCCGCTACAGCTGCTGCAGGGCGGGGACGTGACGGCGGCAGAAGGCTCCGCGGCAGCTGCTGCAGGGCAGGGCCTCGACGGCGGCAGGAGGCTCCGCGGCAGCTGCTGTAGGGGTGACGGCGGCGTCCAGGGGCAGCCGCGGCGCGCGAGGCTGCAGCGCGCTACGCGAGCAGCGGGCGCGGCGCGCGAAGCCGCCGCGGGCTGCGCGAGGACGGCAGCCGCGGCGCGCGGGGCTGCGCGAGGACGGCAGCCGCGGCGCGCGGGGCTGCAGCGCGACGCGCGGGCAGCGAACGCGACGCGCGGGGCTGCAGCGCGACGCGCGGGCAGCGGACGCGACGCGCGGGGCTGCAGCGCGATGCGCGGGCTGTGGGCGCGATGCGCGGGGCTGCAGCGCGACGCGCGGGGTGTGGGCGCGACGCGCGGGGCAGCGACCTGGCGGGGCGGCGCCCTGGCCTGACGGGCCTGCAGGGGCGGCTCGCAGGCGTGACGTGTCTGCAGGTGCGGCGCGTGGGCCTTACGGGCCTGCAGGGGCGGCGTTCTGGCCTAGGGCAGCAGTAGGCAGCACGAGGGCTGCAGGACGGCGCGCGCAGCGCAGCACGTCACAAGGCAAGGCAGGCAGGCAGGCCAACACGTGGGGTAACGCGGTAACCGCAACGGTAGGTGGGCCCGAAAAAAAAACGGTCCTACGGACCTAGTGCTCTGAAACCATGTCAGAATCTAGCAGCAGGAATGATTGAACTATCAAAGAGTTGGGTACAAGTATGAAACCCTAAAAAGGGCTGTACCCCATATTGGCTACCCCACTACAGCCTACACATATATAGCATGCATATACTTTGACACCACCATCTTTTGAGACGTCTCAAGAATCAACTTCTTTGACCTCCCTAATCAAGTCCATCATCACTAATAATGCCCACTCTTTCTGCGTGGCCTGACTCCCTCCGCTTGCCTTTAACAGTGCCACCGTGATCCTCCAGATGTATGCGTGCCCTGCTAGGGGATATGCAGGGACACACACACCCCATCACATGCATGCAACCCACCACCCCCTCCCACCCCCCAAACACACACACACATAACCCACACCACACAGATTAGGGTCACTTCAATACAATCAAAACGTGTAAATTTGCACAAACCAGTGTAGATTGGCCCTTCACATTTTCAAATTTCTAATGACCTTGTTTAGTGCAGTTGAGAACGGTGCAAGCAACCGAGAAAAGGGGTGAGTACACTCAAAAGGGGACAGGGGCGACTTGTGACAGTGGAGAGAGTGATTGAAGTGAACGGCGTTTGAGGCGCCGCAAAAGCCAGAGAAAAGGGCTAAGAGCACTCACAAAGGGACAAGGACCGCTTGTGGCAGTGGGGAGAGTGTGTCAAGTGAAAGGATCATTTAGCGGCATCAGACTGTTTGGGGAGAGAATGTGAGGCAGGAACAGAGAGAAAGGGTACAACGGAAGCTGCTTGTGAGAGCATGAATGCACGGTACGGTTCCATGGTGGCGTGGCATGTGGGCACGACAAGAGAACATGAAATGATGGTATGACATGGTGAACCGTGAAACAAGCAGGACTCACCTCTTTTCTTATTGAATCAGCGCCACCACTAGCACCACCAGCGGCAGCAGCACCACTAGCATTAGCCATGACCCTTTGCTCTGCCGCACTGACAGCAGCATGTGTTGACGCGGATGTGACATAGTACGCTGACATGCAGAGCTGGATGAGTGCAGGGAGGGTGCCGGCTGGTGGAGAAGGGGAAGGAGGATGGGAAGGCAAGGGGAAGAAGGTGAGAGGTCTCCCCTTATATGCGCCGACAGCACCACCAGCAGCACCAGCACCATGTGTTGATGCGGATGTGACAAGGTGACTTTTGAGTCGAGGTGACTTTTGAGTCGACTCAAAAGTCACCTCGGATGTAACCTGCAGAGCTGGATGAGTGCAGGGAGGGTGCCGGCTGGTGGGGAGGAGGGAGTGCACTACCAGCCACAGCCAGTTTTTGAGGCGCCTCAGAAAAATATTGTCTCAACCGCCAAGACAAATCGGGGAGGACTGTGCCATTGTCTCAGAATGAGGGGGACAGCAGGCATGGACTTACCTCCCACTCCTGCACCTGCTGCTGCAGCCACTGTCACTGGCGGAACCTGAGGGGACAGAGAGAGCAGTGTGGGGGGAGGAACAGAGGAGAGGGAATGGAGGGAGAGAAGACGGAAAATCGAAGGGGGGAGAGGTGAAGGAGGATGGGAAGTGGATTCGGAAACGACTGGAAAGGAGAGGAAAGGGAGGGGTTGACGGGGAGAGGAGAGAGAAGGGCGGAGCAGAGAAGGAGAAAGGTGAGAGAATGGAGGAAAAGAGAAGCGAAACGGAGAGAATAAGGGAGGAGTAGAGACGGGGAATGGAGAGGGAAGTGGGGAGTAGAGACGAGAAAGGAGCAGTATGACAGAGGGGGAGAGAGAAGATTTTCGAAATGATGGACAGACAGGCCAGTCAGACTTCCCACTCACCCCTCCACACTCAAGCCACCCAACACAACTCTCATCCCTCCACTCTCACACCACTCTCATCCCTCCACTCTCACACCACTCTCACCCCTCCACCCTTGCACCACTCTCACGCCTCCCTCCCACCCCTTCCCTCCCACCCTCCCTCTCATCACCCCTTCCCTCTCACCCCCAATAGGTATTGCAGTCCCCTGGATCCGGGTATGCGCTTGCCCAGCCGAGGCATCACTGCTTGATCACAAGATGGGGGAGAGTGGAGTTTGCAATGGGAGGAAAAGAGTGGGGGGGTGAGGTGAGGGGTTTGATCCGGGAATGCGCTTGCCCAGCCGAGGCATCACTGCTTGATCACAAAGGGGGGAGCCAGGGGGGAAGGGCGGAGCCAGGGGGACGGGCGGACGGAGTCAGGGTAAGGGGGGAAGTCGCGTCAACTCAGCATGGGATTGGCTGAATCCAACCCAGCCATAGCTGTGGCATTAATGCGCTTGCCCGGCCGAGGACGAGGTGACTTTTGAGTCGACTCAAAAGTCACCTTGGATGCGCTTGCCCAGCTGAGGACGAGGCATCACTGCTTGATAACAAGGGGGAGCCAGACGGGAGGGAGGAGGACGGGTTGGGAGGGTGAGACGACTCGAAGTACATTTGGTTCCCCGGGCATGACAGCACTGCGTGACAGCTCCTAAAAGCAGTGGCTTTGAGTCGACTCAAAAGTCACCAAGTGAGACGACTCAAAGTGCATGGTTCCCCGGGCATGACTGACAGCACTGCGTGACAGCTCCTAAAAAGGTCGCAGCCAGGGAGACATGGGGATGAGGAAGGAATTGCCACCAGCAGCAGGACAGGAATTACCTGAGAAGGACATTAGCCCTTTCAGGTCAGGGGTAAAAAAAACGACCGTTTTTTTGAAAATTTACCGTAAATAACGGTACCGTAAAAAACAACCGTTTAAAACGGTTCCAGGGGGTATTTTCAATTTAATTAACAATTTGGCTACTTTATGGGACCAAATTGAACCCAAATTTCAGCAGGATGAAGGGGACGGGCCCCTTCTTGCATGTGTGCGCTTGATGGCATGTTTAAAAATGTGTATGACCTTCTTTTTCCCTTCTTTTGTTGGTGACCAGAGTTCTCTAACAAAAAAACGGCCGTATTTTTGAAAAATCACCGTAAAAAACGACCGTAAAAAATGGACCGTATTTTACGGATATCGTAATTTTGAACCTTGTTTCAGGTACAGGAGGAATCACCTGCGTTGAAAGCGTAGACGGACGCAATGGTTCCTCCCATGGCCGCGCCTAGCTGATGGGGGTGCAGTGCAGAGAAAGAGAGTGGGGGATGGGTGTGAAGTACAGATAGCAGGCATGCACGCAAGCAAGCATGCATGCATGTATGTATGTATGTATGTATGTATAATGTGATGTGGATGCGATGGTTCCTCCCATGGCCGTGCCGAGCTGATGGGGGGGCAGAGGTAGAGAGGCAGGCAAGAGGCAGGATGGAGGAGGGATGGGGGTGGGGAGAAAGCAGGCACGACCTCAGACGGAGGTTGTACTAACATCGAAGTCAGCATGTGCCATGCGCCATACGCCATGTGCCATGCGCCATAAGCCATGTGCCATGCGCCATGCACCAAGGCCGTGACTGTGACCCCCTCTTCTCCCTCCCCCTTCACCCTCCCCCTCCTTCCCCCTTCCTCCCTTCTCTCCCCCCTTTCTCTCCCCCCCTTCTCTCCCCCCTCCCCTCCCTCCACCCCACCCTCCCATCTCACCGTGGCAAGGCTATCCCGCATGAAAGGCGCCATGCGCCATCCCCCTCCGCTTATCCCTGCGCCTCCCCCCGCTCCGCCTCCCTCTGTCCGCGCGGAAGGCCCCCCATGGCCTGGGTTGTTTGCTGCTGCGCCATTCGCGCCTGTTGCGCGGGACTGGGTGATTGAAGCGGCGGAATGACAAGGGACGATAATGGGGAAAGCATGATGCGAGGGAGAGGAGAGACGGGGGGAGAAGGTGGAATGAAGTGGAAGACGGTGAAGAAAGGCGAAGAAACGCGAGGGAACGAGAAAAGAAGAGCTTACTGTCGGCTGCGGGATTGATATCGGCGCGGCGCATTGCGGGCAGCGCAAGGTGGCGGAGGCGGAAGAGGCGAGCGACGGCGGAACGAAGGCCGCGGAAGGGTCCCGCGCAACGAGGTGGCGCATGCGGTCCTCGGGGGAACTGACCCCCGCCATGTGCGCACACCGAGATGGGGAGGGGGAAATGCAAGGGCGTAGGCGGGAGGAGACTGGTTGAACGGATGCGCGAATCGCGGCGGTGGCTCAGGAGAAGAAGGACGTGCTGCTACTAAGCCTCGCTCAGTCGCCCTTATGGACTTTCTACGAAACAAGAGATGGATTTCTGGAGTATAGGGCGCAGCAAAAATGGATTCGTAACGTCCTCAAAATACCTTAACGAGTACATCCGATGGTTTATCGGATCCGTATGGGCCTGTAACATGTTCGAAGGGATGTGGAATTTCGCAGCTTTCTACCTTGCAGGCCAAATCAAGTTCGCTACAGAGTGAAAGGGAATGTTCGCTATAATACTATCATAGCTTTCTGATAAAGCTCAAAGAACAATTTGCATTCTGCTAAAGTCCAAAACAATACGACAAACCACACCAAAAAAAATGGTAGATCGCATGCCTACTGTACAGCCAACAGCAGGCATCGGCCCAACTGAAGATCACACAAAAATAGCAAGACTCCTGAACTGGGTCGCAATGGCTGCGCCAGCATCAGCACTCAACCCGCAACTGCAGCAGCAATAGACGCTCAAACTTCGACCCATTGCCAGGCTGACTGACTCCATCAGGCTGACGCGGCAACAAAATTGGTTGTAAGGTGAGCTCCACTGGAGCAGCTCCTCTGCAGCGTCACCATGGCTGCACTTGCACTCGCATTCCCACTCACACCCGCACTAGCCATGGAACATTCAAAATTTGGCCCATCTTCTTTCTTCTTCTCCACACATCCACCTCCTGTTCCCACGGTACCCATCAGCCCAGCAGCACCAGAGGGCAATGCACATTCTTCTGCAGCTCCAGAAGAATCAGCAGCACTGACAGCACTGGCAGCACCAGCAGCACTGACAACACTGGTTGCACAAGCAGCACTGACAGCACCAGCAGCACTGGCAGCACCGGCAGCACCAGCAGCACCAGCAGCATCAGGAGCACCGGAAGCACCAGCAGGACCAGCAGCAGTGGCAGCGAACTGAACCTCCACAACCCCCTCAGCAGACTGAAGCGCACGCGTCGCTGCTGCCTGGGCGTCGGCTCGCCGAGCAGCAACAATGTCGCTCTTGCGATGCTTCTTTCCACAACCACTCACCGGGCTTATAGACGGGCTGGCAGGGGTCATAGCAAAGCTGGCGGGGCTGGCAGGGGTTATGGCAACAACCTCCTCATCCAAACCCTCCGTAACCCTCTCCTGCAATCTCTCCTGAACGCTCTCATGAACCCTTTCCTGAGCCTTCTCCTGTAGTACTGCTACACCCATGTTTCCAGTTCTTCCTTGCTCTTTCTCCACCGTCCCTCCCTCCACACACTCCTTCACCTTCTTAATCTTCCTTAAACCCAGAACCTCCCTCCTCACAAGTTCCCCTGCCCCAACCCCGTCTTGAGGGCTGCAATCCCTCTCACCCCCCTCGTCCCCCTCGCCGCCGCGCCTCTCCCGCATCTGGACGATCTTCCGGTGCAGGTTCGAGTGCAGGTTCGGGGAGAATCCGGGGCTGTTGGCGGGGCGGTACTCGGGGCACAGGCGCCCGGACTTGAACCGCACGCCGCACGCGTTGCACAGCGTCTTCGCGCCCAGAGGCCCCGTGCGCCACTGTGGCGTCGTTGTCGTCGAGCAGTGTGAGCACCGCCGCGACGGGAACGCGCCGGCAGCAGCAGCGGCAGGAGAGGCAGGCGCGTCGGCGGAAGCGGCGGCGGCGACGGCGGCGGAGGGAGCAGTAGTAGCAGCAGGTGCGGAGGAGGAGGCGGCAGCGGGAAGTCTGAAAACCCTTGTCTCCATTCCGGGCGACAAGAAACCACTGGGTAAACCCCCCTGCGAAATTGGCGACGGCGCGGGCGTGACGGGGAGGCTTCGGCGCTTCGCGGGGCGAGGGGACGGCGGAGAGAGGAGGTACGCAACGAGCGGGGAAGACCACGGGCGCTTACTGTTGATTCCCTTAATCCCCTTGCTGTCCTCGCTCCTGCCTGCGCAAGCAGCCCCTTCTTCTCCGCGAAAAGCGCAATGACACTCCGCGGTCTTCTCGTGGCTTCGCGAGACGTTAATTGCGCTGCCGTCGACGTCGTGTCGACTCGCGAGATGATCGTCGGCCCCGCTGGCGGCACCGCCGTTGCTTCGCCCGTCGACGCCGCTCGTCCCACCTGGAGCATCGTTCGCACCGTTCGCTGCACCGTTCGCTGCACCGTTCGCTGCACCGTTCGCGGCGGGAGTCGTAACATCTGCGACGTTCGCGGCGTTCGGAGCATCCGCGACGTTCGCAGCAGTCGCACCATTCGCACCGTTCCTCGGTTCGCATGTGAGATCAACCACCGGCCTCAGAGTCGACTCAACCAGTTCCAACCGATCGAACTTGAGCGTCTCCGCCACTCCTCCTTCACGCCTCACACTGAACTGTCTGCTTTCGCTTCGCCAACGGTCGTCCTCGCCAACGACGCCAATTTCGCCAGTCTCGCAGACCTCGCGAACCTCCAGCGCCGTCCCTCCCGCGCCTCTCTCGATCTTCGCACCGTCATGGCCGCAATCGCAACCGCCTCGAGTGCTCCCACGCGCGCTGCGAGCTCGCTTGCCGGCGATCCCACCGTCCGACAGCAGGCGATCCAACGCTCTGCGCGCCGCCGCGCTGTCGCGCCGAAAAACGGACGCGTCGCGAAACTGTTGGGAGTGCTTCTGCTTGAGCGCGTGAGCGCGCTTGTACTTGTGCTTGTGCTTGTGACGCGGATGTTCGCGATGGTGGAAGGGGTGGCACTGCTGAGGCGGCGGGAGAACGGCGGCGGGCCTGCTGAGGTTGCTGCTGCTAGCGATGCTGGCGATGCTGGCCATGCTACCGGGCAGCGATGGAAAGAGAATCGCATCCAGCTCGTCGAGATCATCGCTCTGAAGGAAGAAAAGGGAGGGAGGGCCGAGAAACATAGAACGTGCAAGAGGCGGGGAATTAACGATAGGAAACACCGAGGAAGGGAGATAGGAGAGACAGGAAAGAAAGAAACCGACAAGAAGCTTGATATCGAGGGCCGACGAAGATATGCGCGACACGGGTATAATTGTGACAGCTTCAGCAAAAAAACAAAAACATATAAAAACAGCACCGGATTACAACTCGAAGACCCGGCAAAACCCTCCCTCAGCCCGCTTACAGGAACGGCAAGAGGCGATTCTTCGTTTTCGTGAAAGACACTCAGCGGCGCCAGTCCGTCCAGAAACCCCTCACCCTCCGCCGAAAGACCGTCCTCGGGCAAAAACGGCGAGAAGAGCATCGGAGACGACGGCGTTTCGAGACCGTCTTGATTCAACGAACCGCTCAATTCCGCAGAAACAGCAGGAATCTCGAGAGGATCCATCGGCGCGGCAGTCGGCGCAACAAACTCGCGGATTTCGCCAATATCGCCAGCTTCGTCACCGGACAAATTCAGAAGGTCGTCTTCCCATGCCTCGAGCTCCACCGTCTGAAACCAGACACCGCAGCGGGGATAATCGGGCAGACGAGGGATTAATGACGCCGCCTTGTCAACGAGCATGTGGGATTAAAGCCGCGCGGCGCGAGCCGTTTAAAAAAAAGGTTATACAGCACAATTGTAAACGGAATACTGTAATAGCAGGGACGTACCAATTCAGACACCTCAACAAGAAGAGGTTCCGGAAACTTGCTCAGAGGTGAGCTGTGGTTGTCCGTCTGTTTATTCGTGACGGACGCAAGAGCACAACTGGGACCAGCGACATCAGCCATGCCCGCTTGAGAGAGAAGACTTTTTTTTTTCACAGCTGGTAAGTGACAACCTCAGGCGGCTACAGCCAAGAGTTTGCGCAAACAATGGACATGGACCGGCGCGCAGCAAACGAAAGCGGCGTGCAGTCAGCACGAGTGCGCGCTTCGTTGGCCGAGTTGTGGGTTTACGGTCTCCTCGTTTCGAATTCGTCGATTGTGTTGTGGAAGCTGTGTGTGAGCAGTTTTTGCTCTTGTTTGAGCCGTCACCATCAGTTCCCTCCCAATTCCTCTTCCCTAGACTTTACTGCGCTTGTCTCCCCTCGTTCAGTAAACAAAAACGTTTTGCGAAGGAGCGAGGGAGAGCAGCCAATCGAAGCCGAGATTCGTTTGTGCATATCCTCCCCCCCACACCCCCCCCCCCTCCCCCCCCCCCCCTCTTTTTTCTCCTTCCCCCCTCATTGTATTCGTTCCCCCACCAACTTACTCCCCCCCGCATTCCCCCTCAATACTCCCCCTCACTCCACATTCCTTGTTTTTCCGCTGTTCACTCTGGTGTGTTGTAGGAACGTCCCCCCACCCCTCAACCGCACATATTGGACTTGGGGAACGCTGGAAGGAAGGCGGAGATTTAGGAAAGGCGGCGGCAGAGGGGAAGGGTACAGCAGTTGTGTTGTGAGAGCGAATGCTTCAACGACCTATATCCTGTCAGGTGTGCGGCATGGCATGTTATGATTCGTCCGTGAAGCGCTAAGTTTCCGCCAAGCGGAAAACTGACAGAGGTTGGGGCTATGCTTTGCGAGGAGAACTTTCTCAGCGGTCAGTAACTGGCCCAAATCTCACACAACCCCCACATGCTTCCGCAAGGCTGCGCGTCCGTTCCTTGGGGACTGGTTTTGCTGGCTGGCATGGCTCTCTGATTGGTGGATTTGAGTTCCTCACTTTCGCGCGCTCCTCGGTCTCGCCCCTTCGGAACTGTCTCTGTGTCGTTTCCGGGATGGGTGTTTCTCAGCCGCGAAGCGAATCATGCGAAAGATCAGCAAGTGTATTCGCGAAGACAGGAGAACCAGATTGCGTGGTGGCGAAAGACAGCTGATCTTGGTTCGGTTGGAGTTCGAGGCCCGAAAATGCGCCTCGAGCATGTCTCACTTCCTAGAAGCCTCCACAAGAAGCCATCTACCACATTCTCCAACAGCGGAGACGGAGAGATCCTCAGGAGCTGCCAGCTCAGACGGTGCTGATTCGACAATCCAGCTGACGAGGTCAGCGTTCTTCCTTTTGGGGCTGATATTTATCACTCGCCCTGAAAAGCTGCCCCGCCGTTGGGAAAAGCAGATGGCCAAGGCACTGAACGTCAGGGGTGTGGCCCAGTTCGTCAAAGTTGAACGTAAAGAAACACATTGATTTAGTGATCCTGGCAGGATAGAATGCTAGTATGCTGCCTTTCGGATGGGCGACGCTACTTGCTCACCGCTCAATTCTGCGGATATGGAACAAGGGAGGAGAAAAATGGAGGAGATAGGTGATAACCTTTTGGCAAACCCTGCAGCAAAAACTCCCCGGCCCAGCAAACCGGTGGGATTACGCGGCGGAGAGAATCTGCTTCAGCAGATATATTTTTTACCGAGGGAAAAGCCCCTTCGGGAGGCAGAAGGGATCCGACTGCCTGCTGGAGCTGCGCGTGGGGGACCTGATTCAATCGGATTGGGATGGCACGAGGAGAGTGAAGGATGTGTGGACTCTAACAAAAGAAACAGGTAGCTCGACGACGGCGCGGTGGGCGCTTAAAGCATGGAAGGCGGTCCCCAGTGAATGGAAAGAGGTCCTCCTAGCAAAGCTGACGGGGGAGGAGATGCTGAGGCTAACACGCTTTGCCAGCACACGATCTCTGGCGGGGAGACCTTTGTACTGGCAACTGGTGGCAGTCGATGGCAGCGGAGTCCAGTGCAAACCAGCGGAGGTGGGGAAGAAAGGCGAGTTGCTTCTGTCGAACAGAGCAAACCACACCCGAATCGAGACGCACAGGCTAACACCGCTACTGACGGAGGAGAACCAGCTGTTGGGCGAGGCGGGTTTTGCGCTAACAAGATTGAGGATGTCGGCGCTGTGTGAGAAAGGGAAAGGTGCAACGCTGGAAAAGCTGAGAGCGGCGTTGAAGGGGCCGGTGGAGCAGCCGAAGCAGCAGAAGAAGTGGGAGCAAGAATACGGAAAACCCATTGACTGGAAAGGGGCTATTCGGAAGAGAGACACCCTGGTCACCCCGGGCAGTGCGAGAGAGATCATTCTAAGACTCCATAGCAAGAACCTACAGGTGGGGGAGAGGTTGAAGTTTATGAAAGACCGCATCAACTGCCCGCACTGTGCTGAGGACGAAACCCTAGCTCACTGTTTACTGGAGTGCGGCAGCGTACAGCCTGTCATCGGCGCGGTTAAGGGGGCGCTGAAGCAGATAAATCCAAAAAGGGATGTGGAGAAACTCGATGACTTTCTGTTTGGGGCGGACTGCACGAAGTCGGGCTTCCCAGAAAAGCCACTGGTTGCAATCGCCTTTCATCAGATTTGGCTGGAACGCTGTGAGGCAGCTTTTCGTCAGGGACGCTTCCAGCCACAGCGAGTACTCCGGAAAATCGGGGTGAACTTCATGAAGCATGTTAGGATCTACAGTGCCTACAAGAAGCAGGTGGCAGGAGGTGATGGGCGGAGCGGGGCACGGAGCTGGCCCCACCTGGCACAGGACGAGGCTGAGTCTTTGAGCAGGATCTCCGAAGAGGAGAACACGCTGACGTGGAGGGAGGGGTTCAGGTCTGTGTGGGCAAACCCGCGAACTGCCTTTCAGCCACCCTAGAAGGTTCTGGAAGGGCCGTGTAGACTCCCTTGTCTTCCTGGTCCCTTCCCCCCTCACCGTTACGACTGTGGATGTAACCACCTTATAGTGCATTGCATCCTTCAAAAAAAAAAAAAAAAAAAAATGCTAGTATGCTATTATGCGCGTGCTAAAAAGGAGAACTTCAAAACCACATCACGTGAAATGTGTTCGCCTTCTCTATGCCGAAACCTCGTGGCAACAGCCAGCCGTTCTAGAATGTTGTCAGCGCTGGCTCTGGCTAGAGACTGCAGCAATGCACTTTAGTAGCCGACGCATGTGCTTAGTAGGCGACTGCTTTCCGCCTGGAAAATGTGCGCTGGAAGGCGTACAAAATGGATATAATCTGTGCCGCTTATAATCGCTTTTCATGGCCACAGCTACCAGAGTCTCCTTGATCCCAAGTGCTATCACTCTTTCCCCGCTCACATTCGCTAATTCACTCCGCGTCTCCAGCAACGTGTACGCCATGGCTGCCGCCAGAAAGACCAAGATATACGGTCTGAAACTCTCGACATGCACGAAGAGGGTTCTTGTAGCTCTAGAAGAGAAGAATGTTACGGTACGACCCAGAGTACAATTTGATTGTTATCGTGCGTCGCAGCGACTGTATTTTCATTTAACTACGATCGATGTTTCATGGATCGCAGGACTATGATCTCGTGACCGTGGATGTGTTCAAGGGTGAGCACAAGTCGGCCGAGTTCAAGAAGAAGCAGGTCCACGGTAGATCCAGCCGTCACAAGTACTATCACATGACTTAACTTCGACGTTTTCTGTAAATTAATTCGGCCTAGTCGGTCTGAACCCTATTTGTTCCTTGCAGCCGTTCGGCGTCATTCCCGTGCTGGAAGACGAGGAGGTTCAGCTTTTCGGTAAGTACAAAGCAAAGCAGGTCAAATAAGGGTGCTTCTCAATGTCTTTCTTTTAGTTTTGTAGATAATGCGTGTATGCCCACTCGACGTTTCCATGAATCTCATGCCTGCGATTTTTGCCACAGATGAGAAGATTTGAACAAGAATGAATGAACTATGAAATGAAGTGAGTACAAATATGAAACCCTAATTGGTTGTACCCCCTATGGAATACCCCACTATAGCCTACACAACAGCATAAGCTATAATGTTCTGACACACCCCCATAGGCAAAGTGGGGGAGAACAAGGGGTCACAAGACCAGTCAAGCAAAGTAAAGCAAATCAAGCTCAGGGTGGATCACAAAGTCACCACACAGTCCGAGCACAGGGTCAAGGCCACACGGCCAGTTCACATGCAAGAGTACACACATATATATATAAAGCTAGACAAGCAAGAGCAGGTATATATATATGTGAGAGTACAGGCAAGG